TGAGGTGAGTAATTCAGGTGATGGAAAGGCACAAACTTTTCACACTTCCTATCAGCACTGCGCAGAAGCAAGCATGCAAACTGTGCAGATGCCTGCAAGCAAATGTACAAGAAAATACATCTCCTTCAAAACACAGGGTAACAGCTCACATGCTGATGGCTGGAATTCATGTGAGGTGTCAATCATATTTTTCTGCTAGCATGAAGAGCTCACTTTCCTCGGAAATCACCAACTAGATTCCATCATTGCAGGAAATATATCAGCAGATTACCTCTTCAGTCAATGAAACAAGCTTTTGAACCAAAACCATGGCATCCTTTGACAGTGTCAAGCCATGGAAGTGTTAACACAGAAAGCGGGGGGAACAAAATACCAGTTAGAAAAGCAACTTAAAATGCAATGTCCTGAATATGGATGCAATTTGCTACAGCTGTGTTCCCAGTGTCGCACTAGGAAACAGCAAAATAAGGATAGAAAGGCACAGACTCATCTGTGTTAATAATTCAGCAGTATCAGAAATATCTGCCAAGTCTTGGTGCCTCACAGTACCATATAGGAGCCTTCCCCTATATATGCTAAACTAAATCAGGAATAGCAGACAGATATTAAGAAGCGGATGCTCACATAGTGGTTTTTTTTCACCTGTGCATACTTAGTGTTAGGAGTGTAGTTCAATACTCGCAAGGGTTCTCTCCTCCATCCTTTATTGCCTGTTCTTCATTCTTCATTTTCCTTGTCATATAGCCCATATGGCCAAGGAAGCAGGTCAGTGATTTCACTGTGTCTTGCTTTTATTAATCCCAAAGCATGGATCAAGTCAAAAGCAATCATGGCCCCAGTGATTTCTGGACTGCAGTTTTCACTCCTACTAGTCCTGGACAGTCAGAGACCGTCAGATGCCAGCCTGAGAAGCTGCAGCCCAAATACCAGGTCGGGCCCAGATGAGCAACGTGTGCATGGATGTGTGAAAGGGCCCGGGGAGCCTCTGTGTGCAGATGAGTTAACTGAATACCGATGCAAGAGAGATTGGTGCTGCTTTTTGCAAGTTGCACATGAGTTATTAGTTTCACACGTGTAGAAAGCAGGCTATCACGGAGTGATCTGAAATCCAGATGACAGATTTTATTGCAAAGCTTGGACGGCTGCTTAAAGAGAAACAAAAGAACACGGAATACATGTGAAATGGGAACACTTTCAAAGTGAGCCTGAAAAAAGAAGAACAAAGCAGAAGGGATAAAGAGAACAGCAGTTCTGGATCTGAGCAAGAGCTTACAGGAATTGCAGGGAGGAGAGAGCCCTCGCCTAGTTTATACTCTCTTTGGAGAGCCCCAACCAAATCCTTCAGTAAAATTCTGATTTTCTATCACACTGTGATTAATTCTGATGCCCCCTAGGGAAGAGCTTGCATCAATGCAAATGGTGGATGGTGCCCAACATCAGGTACACATTGCTACTTTGTATTAAGCAAAAATGAACAGACTTTCTCAGTTCTGTTGCCCTCTACATGGACACAAATCAGGAGTAACTCTTCCTGAAATCCAGGGGACATATGGCCATTATATTGGTTAAATGTACATAATGAGAGAACTTTTTCAGTTCTCAGACACGCTTCAGTGTGGCTTTGCTGGGGGCAGATTTCTTGCTGGTGTGAGAACCAGTATAATATTTTAAGGAAAAATAAGAGGGGGCAGGGCAGCACTCAGTGAAAATGACCATAATTCCCTATCGTTTCCCTATTCAGGCCTGGTAAAACATACATCTGCTGCTTGAATTTTAGCCCAAGATAAAAGGGATATCGTGAAGCCCTATAGTTCAAGAATGCTACATATTTAAAGCAGTAAATTCTGACAGGGACCGCAATCCTCTTGCAGCACAGAGTTACTGCAGGCGAACTGCTGGGAGGGAGAGCAGAGTCATTTCTTGGGAACACCATGGCAGCAGGTACCTGGGGGTCCCACGGATTCAGGCAGACTGCGTGTTTTGCTGCTGCATGCCGGTGGCCTTTCCTCTCTGTGCAGTGGCAGCATGTCTGGAAGCCACCAGAGAACAGATTTGGTGCTTCTCAGTGTCCTGCTTGAAATGAATTTGCTGAGAGCCGTCCAGGTCTTACTTAGCACCTGTTAGAGAAGCATGCCACGTGCCTGGGAGTAAGAAATGGGAAAGGCTTTTCCATGAACTAGTGTTCCATGAACAGAATTTTTTATGGACATTTAGAAAAAATCCTGAGCTGCTTTAATTTCCCATAAAACCTAGAAAGTGAATCGGCAGTGTAAGTGCCTATGAAGGCACAAAAGAACTGGAATGGGTCGTTCTTCAGTTCTTCCAACTTGATAATGAAGGTTTGAAGGCTTTTCTGTTTTGTTTTTAATACTTCAACTCATTCTGTGTTAGGAATACAAATCCCATCCAGGCTGGACAACTTTCTGCACAGACCGAAAAGACGTCAGGATGCATCAGAGACACTAGAGAACACTGCAGATTTGTCTATTCAGAGATGTTTAAGTCTCAGCGATTAATTACCCATTACGCTGTGTTATAGGACACGTCTGAGCCATGGTCGTCTGGACACGGCACACGTTTCTTCCAGGACATGAATGCAAGCAGATGTCCTGCTCAGCCTGTACAAATGCATGAATGAGCTGGAATTACTTGCAATCAGTTGACTCCAGTCAAATACTTTTGTGTTTCCATGTTCACAGTTTGTGTAGTCAAATCCTGAGAAGGGAAGTGATTTTGAGTCTGACTATTTAAAGTTTTTTGTATGATTTTCTTAACAGCTGTTGCATCCTAACAGTTGGGAGAAAAATCTTCTTTTCGTAAGGACTCTGTAAGGCTCTCTTAGCTGGAGGATGAAGCTATTTCCCTTCTACATTTCCTGGAGTCCTTCATTGAGATCAAGGGGTAATTATTCCTGATATTTTGAAAGTTAAAAAAAAAAAAAGTAGTAAATGACATTTAAAGAGAAATAAGCCAAGCCAGACTTAGCAAAGACTCAGCAAAGTCTGGCCGTTTCCCCCCACCTTTCCAGATCACCTCAGCAGCTTTATTTCCCAGGTTTGAGCAGGTTACCCCGAGTAACGGGTGTTTGTTTGACAAAGCGCTATTACTCCTTGTTACTTCTGAACCTCAATAGTCACAGAGAGATTATAAACGCGTAAAGAAATAATACCGACACTAGGGGAGGTCTCCTTCCTCGCCAGTGTGGACGTTTGTCAACTCGTGTTGCACCTAACGATGGATGCCTGCGAGCTGGAGAGGAATTCTCCTCTGCTTGCCCTCCCTGCCTCCGGGCAGCAGGAGAGCAGGGACAGGGATAGCTGGCAGCTGCGTCCAGCTTTAACCTCCCTGAGGAGCAGGTTTGTCTGTCTACTTACTGGACTTCCCCAGGGTAGGAGAAGCTGAGTCCCACCAGTGCCCGGTGCCCAGCTCACAGAGCCGTGCATTGCTGCCCAAAAAAGGGAGCCCCAGAGCAAGCCGGCAGATCAGCCTGTTCCCGGGAGGTGGTGCAAACCCGGACAGACCGGATGTGCTTTTAGAGCAAAGCAGGTCGAGCAAAGCCCAAAGGCCATCCCTCACCAGCAATCTTCACCCTGGCCCTTGGGGAGGGAGTGGTGACCGCTTAATTCCCGCAACCAGCTACAAGTGGATATTTCTCCTCTGCCCACCACCCCAGAAAAGCTTTGCATGTGGATCTTGTTAAAAGATTTGTCCCCTGCTTGTTTATTAAACATAAGCCAGCAGTTAGGATGGGCCAAGGAAAACATAGCAGTGCAGCATGCACCTCCCGGCCGCTCCGCGGGCCCAGGCGCGACCCGCAGGAGAGGGGTGCTGCGGGGCCGGCCCTGGGCATCAGGGGCTGCACCCCGTGGCCGAACCCGCTGAGTCCCCGCCGGGAGCCGAACCGGGACGCGCCGGCAGCACCGGGGG